GTCAGAATTAAATATGTCTAAATGTTAACTGAGATCATATGATCATTTTATTAATAAGTTTTCCAAAATACCAGCATAGAAATATTTACAAAATAATTAAAAAGTAAACTTTTTGTCTTTGTCATTGTTCAGTAGGATACTGAGAATATATAATATTTTTTTTCTTTGATATGCATATGGCAAATTTGGCATATTAAGAGTTTTAATCAAAATATTCTTCCATTTACATGATAGTTACTGAAAAATTTGATTGAGGACTGCTCAATGTTGTTCTTTTGCAATATGTATTGCATTGAAGAATGTGGAACTTTCACATGAAGTATTTTGTACTGAAGGAGATGGGTCCTTTAATAATTGATCTAATTATAATACAATGTACTCAGGTATCAAAAGAGTGCTCTGCACTCCTTAAATATGTGCAATGATTGTGTAAATTTAAGAAAAATAAAAAGGAGGAAAAAAATCTGGTGCTTAGTAAAAAACTGAATAAGGATCCTAGCATGAAAAAAGTCTTACAGAAAACAAGCATTATAACCATGGAATGGAGAAAACAGAGAAACAGAAATTTCTGGTTGAGTACTATTTTGAATTTAAGAACTATATAAAATTTGCAGGTAAATGAATGTAACTATAACTAATCATCTTACATGAGGTAACCTAGACCCCAAAACACAGACATAGCATGTTCTTTGTCATAACTTGATTCTAGCTTTGAAACTCTAGATATGTGCAGTTCAAAGGGAAAATCCTTAGAGATCAGGAAACTAATACGGCACCATTGGAGGTGGGGGAGATAAATGCAGTGATATAAATGGAAAGGGGAATAATAGGCTGTAAAGTTTAATGGTGTGGGGAATAGGGGTTAGGGCACAAGACAGAGTAAAAAGAGCAATAACTAGCACTAAAAGTCTTTTGAGTCATATCAGGCTGAAAATATGGCTCAGCAGGTAAGAGCACTGGCTGCTCTTGCAGAGGACCTGAGTTCAGTTTTCAGTACCCACATGGTGGCTAACAACTGTCAGTAACTCCAGTTACAGGGCATCAAATGCCCTCTTCTGGTCTCTGTGGGCATTGCATGCATGTAATTTACTTACATATATACAAACACTCATACACATAAAATAAAAATAAATAAATTTTAAAATGGGTCATATGGAAATCTACTAGTATAAAAGTATCTTTCAATATATATGTACATACATAATATAAAAGGAGTTTAAATATAGTTACCCTATACCAGGTTGGAGTGGCTATCATAGACACCACAAGCTAGCAAATGGAAAATGCAATGCCAGGAATGGACTTTGTCCTTTGGAGTTGTTGACCAGAGAGACCCCTTATGCATCAAACAATACTGGCTATTGTACTTGGTTACTCACCAGAAATTGATGGCAAGACCCTATTGCAAAAGATACTATATACCTGAGTTTCAGAACAAACAAGGAGACATCAAGCTGATTCTAACCTTGAAGGTTCATCCTTGCTGGCTAGCTTTCGTAGTATTAAAAGGTGCTATGCATGTTACTGGAAAAGAATGGAAATCATCAGCTTTACCCACCTGTATGCCCTGTGAACTTTAATAACAACTTGGTAAGATATGCCCAAGGTACAATAGTGGCACAGATGTTATGGGAGTAACCAACAATCTTCTAATTGAACCTAAGGGCTGCTTTACGAGATGGAGACCATAACAGATGCTGTTATCAGGGACAAGAACCTGTGGCTTGACAGGTCACAGGACACAGGGGAGAACCTACCACTATCATTCTGCTAAATCAACATAGTATTAAACTGATTCACAATGACTTATTGTTATACCAATAGATTATTGAATCTCTCAACTCTCGCCTGACAAGCTTCTTCTTACAGCAAATAGCCGTTAACACAGAGACCCACAACTGGTCAATATGCAGAAAATAAAAGACTGGGAGTCCTCAGACATAAATGAAACACCTCTATATTACCCTCTCTTCCCAAGGCTCAGGGATCACTGCAGTAGAGGAGGAAGAAAGATGGTAAGAGCCAGAGGTGATAGATAAATATAGGGATGACTTTTATAAATGGACATAATCTAGACTACTTTCAATTAATTACAGCAAAACCATGTGCTCTTCTGTCTTGTTGCCTAGGTACCTAATGTTTCCTTGGCAACCTCAAGTTGGTACTTTACCCAAAAATATAATGAATAAATGTGGGTATGCTTGAGAATTAACATATCAAAGCATTAAGAGCAAGCATACCCATCTTCACTGCACACAATGAAGATTAGGAAGAAGAACTGACCTTGGATGAATGAGATATTCTAGATTTAGGAATGAAAAAGTCTGATGATCTGTTGCTATTAAGGTGGAGCCAAACTTATTCTTCTGCAATGATAGCTGCAGAAACCATTTTGAATAAAATTATGAGTGGGGCCAGACTTGGGGACACAGTTCCAGGGACAGAGTTCCAGCAACACAGTTCCAATAACACAGTTTCAGGAAACAGATGGTTCCAAAAGATATATGGGAACAGTGAGTGCCCTCCAAGTTTGGCACAAATCTTAAAAACTAAATTTAAGAGTCAAGCTTTTTGTTCAGGCAACTGTAATGTTGGCATAGTAAGACAGTACATGAATATGAGGAAACTGTGTTGTGTGGACACCACAGGGTAGTTGTGCATATGAACCCATATGACAGCATTCACAGGACTTTTGCAAACCCAAGCCAGACAGAGGCCAAGCACGGATTGTGGAAGGAATGCAGAAAGCCCCAGTCATAGGGGAAGATCTATTGTTAATTGATAGTTACTAGGAAAGGGAGAGTAAGATGTTCTTACTGGTGTGACACCTGGTAGGTTGATCAGGCTGGAAGGAATAGATACCAAAACCCCACCCAAGAGCATTTATGAAAAACAGATTAGACTTAATAGGTGTTTTAAAAAGACACAAACAATAATAGAGATTAGAAAATGGTCACGAGGGTTAATAAGGTTAGAGTAGACACGGGGACTGAATATGACCAATGTACATTGTGTGAAGTTCTTGAATCAATGAAGACATTTAAAAAAGAAATATTATAGGTGATTATATGTATACAAATGTTTGTTTAATGATGAAAAGAGAAGGAGTAAAACACAAAATTCTGACATATTTTAAAGGT